TTGAATAACAAATTTTCAAACAAGAGAAAAACAAATCTAAAGTTATTTAAAATTGAATAAACAAACGCTAAACCAAAGAACATTACTTCTTACTTCACTATAAAGCAAAAAAGAGTGGAGACAATAATAACAATTATTGCGGATAAAGTGCGAGCAGCCCTTAAGGAAGCCGCAAAGTAACTCATTTCTTACAATCAGCCAGCAACTTAAGACAATATATTAACTTTATTATTAGATTTGTTACCCCCAAAAAGGAGGTTCAGAAGTCAGTCGCAGTAGTTCGAAAATTCCAAGTGAGCATAAATACATTCGTCCTTCTGCTCTTCCGTTCATCATATGACGCAAAAGCTAAGATAGAATTGTACATGGACCTGACCTGCCTAGTTGGGCAAAACAACTGAAATCATCTTGAGTAAATCTTTGCGGAACGGTTTTCACGACCTCGGAAATTACAAACGAAACCAGGGAAAAAATATCGCTGTTTTTCTCAGATGGTGTTAGGTTCTTCTTCTTCTATATTGTGGGCAACCCAGGCCTGTCTTTTAACATTATATTCCTAATTGGCTAATGCATTTAGGTCTTTGTCTTAATTCATGTGACTGTAACGATTCCACAAAAGTTTTAGGTTAAAAGGACCCATCACGGTAGATATGCATATATCTGAACGGTATCTTAAAAAAGTGACAGAGGGGGTGATTAAAGGTCTTTTCGTATAAATTGCAGCCACCAACAAGCTGTGGAAATTCCTTGACCCTCTAATTATCTTCTTTAAGATTAACTGTTCACGGAGAGCATATTCACACAAGCGCTTGTTTTAGCGTTAAGTCTCTAGTCATGCTCCGTTTTACTATTATACGCGGATATCTCTTTGACTTTCAGAACTTGCTGAGGCTTAAAGATAAAATTTCGATAAAACATTTTCGATATAATTTTAAATAAACCCGACCACCATAAAAAAGCAAAAAGTGAAACGACCTCGAAAAAAAAAGCAAATATTAGGTCCTGAAAGTAATTTCATGTTTTCCCAAAACACGATTTAATTGTACATTTTCACAACCGATTTTCCGCCTAAGCCGCATAATCATTACACATTTTGGCAGTTGATATAGCAAGATTTGCTTATAAAAGGCTTCGATCGATTCGCGTATTTTACCTTTTCCCTGTCGAAAAGATCAAAAGGCTGTTCAAGCTAGAAAAAAAAAAAATTCGATGTGAACACTAGCGCCACATTCTCAAAGACCAGTTGGACCTGATGATGACAAAATAAAGGTATTCGTTACTGCAAAGGGCCTGTACTGAGAACTGGAAGACTGATGTTAAACGTCATTATAAGAAACTCGTCTTTTATGTTGGCTTGAAAAAGAGAGAGAATTTACGTTCCGAGTAACCCAATGCATTTCTTTTCATAACAAAAGTAGTACACTAAGTAGATATATTCGATTTCATTCAATATAGAACGATTTCAATCTATATTTTTATTTGATGCAAATGCAATCGGAAACAAAAAAAGAAAAAAATTATTTTATAAACTTTTTTATTTTTCGATTTTTTTTTACACGGTTTCAATAGGTTTTTTTTTTTTTTTGTTTATTTTTTTTGATTTTTATCGACTATTTCTTATGAGTTTTTCTATCATTTACTTAAACTCCAGTAGCGCAGCGAGAAACCATCAATTTTCCAATGTTTATCGCCCATAATTGCTGTTACTGTTGATATCCACCTTAAGGCATATATGGCTTTGCTAATTGTTTGCGTTAGATCCGTGAAACGATTAGATGAATTTAAACATAAGCGTACAAATACATGTTTAATAAGCGAGATTATCGCTTGCGTTTTAGATATACCCCCTCCATACCCACCACCTAAAGTTCAAAATCGTGTATGCTGGTGACGGTACGCATTAAAAGGCAACAAATTATCACAAAGTGTTATAAAAGAGACTTTTAACGAATTTCGTCTAGGAGGCGTGTCTGACAACGTGATTGTTGTCGTAATGCGCACACATCACTGCATTCGGGGATGAAGAAACTCATATCGTCGCAATCGCTGTTCATTTGACAGATGAAAATGCATACAAAATATTTAAGTCGAATGCTAAATACCCTTTGCATCTATATATCTATAAATCAATCGCATAACGCTCTAAAGACATAGCATTTTATTATTCCATTTAAAATTAAATTAATAATGTAATTAGCATGGACTTGTAAGTTACCAGATGCTTTTATTATGCCTTTTACAGTACAACTTAAATTTCGTACGAAAATTATTGATAGGACTTAACCCGCTTCATATAACATAAGGATCGCTACTATTATAATGTATATCAAGTCAAATAATGATGCAAAAGCCAAAAAAGTTGACTTGAATGTAACAGAACAACGCAAGTATTAGATATGCAATTTAAAGTGAAGCATAGAGAAGAGTCTTTAGCGTTCTCGTGCAAAAGTCACTGTATGTGTCAGACGTGAGAAATGAACAAAAAAAAGAAAAAAAAAAAAACAACTTCTATTAAAAGAACAAACAAACGTATTTGCCATATGAACAAACTAATACTTGCGCGTATATGTGTGTGCATACATCTGGGCCTTGGTTTACACAGCATTTGCTACGAAGGTTTTCGGTTTTGTTTCATTTTTAAAAAAAAATTAAATTTTTTTTTCGCATTTGAGGACGACTAGTAGGAGCCTGTCTCCATTTGTACAAAGTTCGCATTACGTCAATGAAAGTTCCGCACATGGCATTTGCGACTGATAATAGTGATAACAGGGTCGAGTAAGGTCTATCTATTTGCTTGCCTTCTCAGATCGCTGTTGCCACATAAATAAGAAATGAAGTCAACAAATTTCGCGTCCCTCTCGTTAACATATCGACAATCGCTGTTGCAATGCTGTAATTGTTTGGTTGTTCTGTCTGCAGAACTGTACTTACCTGGTATTCCTAAAGCTAGAATTTTGCTTTTACCAGCAGCTTTTACTAATAGAGCGAAATGAAAATATTGCATCAGGTTTACAGTAATGGGCAAAAGTTAATTTTATTATCCTTAGAAATGTTTCGCTTAGTACGCCATACACTATGGCCGCTGCCACACTGAATGACAGAGTGATAAAAGGATAGGGCATGCATCGCCCAGGCCACTTCTAAGCCCTGTCCTTCTTCCCTGTCCTAACCATTACCGTGTTCACATACCACCCCACTGACCGACCACACAAAAAATAAAAACATTTTTATTGGACTGGATGCTCACTCATCATGGAAGTTTCATTAAAATTAAGGAACAAAATCATTTAAAAACATTTTTTTTTTTTTTTTTTGGCCATTGAAGAAGTCCTCTGAAGCAGTTAAAGATTTGACTCCCCTTGATCAATCCATATTTTTTAGTTCAAAAAAGAACACCGCAACGCCTTATCTATTTTTGAGACAGCTAGCTCCAAAGCTTGACATATTTTATATGTTCTCTTGCAGCGGCTTGGCTGTCGTATCACATTCGCGAAGAAGCCTTACATTTCATTTCGAAGGAAGTCAGCTTTCTTTGTCTTTACCATCTAATCAGACTTTTGCTAATGCAGTCAATGCAGTGAAGATGGAAATCCCACAGACCCAAAAGTCCAGTTATTCTTTTGAATATAAAATTCGTATTTAAGCCATAAGACTGGGAAAAGTCGTATAGTTAAGAAGAGAATATTTTGGAAAAAAAATATTTATTTATTATTCCCTTAAAATAACCGCTTACTGTTCCGCCATAAAAAAGACCAGTACAAATTTATTTATACGTCTGGTGTGTGTTTGTATATATAAAACCCCAAGGAGATTTATTTATATTCTTGGTGTATATATATAAATAAACATTTATTTATACATCTGGTATATATATGTATATAGATGCATGCATTTCCCAGACTGCGAGTAAACCTTCTCCCACGTTCTCCACTTCTCTTTATAATCCAGTAAAGATTTATTAATATAATCCGGTAAAAATTCATTTATATACGTGCGATATGCGTATTTATATATAATCCGATAAAGATTTAGTTATAAACATGGTAGGTGGATACATAGTCCATTTCTTTTCCCTTATATCAACTTGCATGATTTTAAAGGAACGCGGAACTCTCTACATTTACTACGACTCTTGGAAGGGATGAATTTATCGCGTAAGGCTAGGCCTCGATGTATATCTTCGCATATGGAGGATATTTTGTCACAGCTATTTAATAAAGAGGAACTATGTATTATATTATTGTTGTCGATCGTCGTTTTTAATCGTCTTTATAGCATAACATTAAAAGAAACAATCAGAACAGCGGTAACAATGCGAAAAAGTAATGCGAACACACATTAGGGGATTGTTTGTTATGCTGCTGCTGGCTTTGCTTTTTTTTTCTCTTCTTCTTTCTTCTTTTTCCTTTTTTTTTTTTTTTTGTTTTTTGTACACCGAAAATCTGTTGAAGAGGCGTGACACATGAGACACCTGGAGTAATTTGTTTGCCAAAGTCAAAGTATATTTGTCAGAGAATGGCATACTTGAACAAATTACCACAATTATGGCCGTTAAATTATCACAATTACTTAACGTTACGTTTTCACAAACTCGTAAACTCGAAGCTATTAATCAGTGTACTTGAAGGCATGGAAAATTATCCAATTGCCAGCGGTCAATATTTCAAAGATTTCATCAACACATAGTTAGCATGGAATCGAAAAAGTATACAAACTTGATAGGGCAGTGCCTTCGTTGAGCGTTAGTGAGTAAAGTAAAGTTAACTAACGCATTAATTGCACATATGTCTCGATATTGTTCATATTAGGCGTGTAAACGATTATACGATTATTATTAAATTTTAATTTTTATTTAAAATATTTACAAACTATTTACTATTAAAACAAAAATGATCATAGAAAACAATTACAAGTTATTAGTGTACTTTCGAGAAAAAAGGAAACTAAGAAAATTTTAGTAGAGAATCACCGTTAAGCTTAGGCTTAGAGAAGCGGGCATCTTAATAAATACTGTTAGCCAAAGTTAAAGCGCCGGTAACTGCCGTTTTTGCTGGTAAACTTGAAGTCGCCGTTGTCATTAGAGCGACGGCGGTATTGGTCGTATTTGTTGCATTCAACGTAGGAGAATCATTAAGTGCACCACCACCACCACCAGCATGTAAATGACTATTAAACTTTTCAAATCCACTAATGTCCGAAGTTAACTTCTTGCGTAGATCCGGTTTAGGTCCGGTTAGGCACATCTTCTCCATTTGCTGATGCTGCGAGCGTACAGCAAATCTATTAACATGCACCGGTATCGGTACGACAATTTTTGTGCCCGAGCTACCGTTACGATTCATGCCGTGCGATGATAAACCGGCCTTGACGCGTTTCCATTTCGCTCGGCGATTCTGAAACCAAATTTTTACCTGTTGCAAGTAAATTTCGTTTTTAATTTTTTTTTTTTTTTTCTGCTCATTCATATAACAACTAACCGAAATCTTAATGAATATTTTTACCTGCACTTCGCTCAATTTAAGGCTGGTGGCGATTTGGCTGCGCTCAGTTAAGCTTAAGTATTTTTTCGCATGAAATTCTCGCTCTAATTCCAATAATTGTTCGGATGTAAATGCTGTTCTTCGTCGACGCGACTTGGCTGCAGCGGTTTGACTTAAATCTTTACCATTGTCCGGTTGACTTGTGGAATTAGTATCATCGTCGGAGCAGTCGTCACTGTCGGAATGGGAGTAAGCTAAAAAAGTTAAATGAACGAGATAACAGTGACAAATGCGTTCACTTATTCTGATACATTAACTTCAAGAGTTTTTAAAATTCAATAGCAGCATATGACAAAGCCAGAGCAACAGCATAGCAACAAATGTTTTTTTTTATATTGTGATATTAATGAAGTGTGAAAGGTGGTTGAAGTTCTAGTCATGTATTTACATAATTTATAATTGTGATATAAGGGTATATAATGTTTGTGTGAATATATGCGACCAAAACGATTTCAGATAGACTTACCGTGTATTATACCGGTCGATTCAGAGTCACTCTCTAAACTTGTCTGTCCGTCCGTCCGTCCGTCCGTCCGTTTTGCTTTCTTATGTTCACAACCTATGCCTAGACTGCAATTTTCGATATATTTTGGTGAAACTTGATACACAAGAACGAATGCTACTCAAAATGGTTCGGATCGGACCCCAGCCAATACAAGTCCTTACGTTGAAAACTTGTTCTATGAATAGCTGTATTAAGCAAAGTGGTGTAGGGTATTTAAACATGGACTCTGTCTTACTAGAGTGTTTTCTATTTGCTTTTATTTTCTATTTATTTTTATTAAGGAATTATAAGACTTGAAGTAGATCTGACGTAAACTACGCATTACGAGTCCATACGATAATTAGATATTATCGACCATTAAGTGAAATATGTCAAAATTTCATGACATAACCATTAGTTCGCAAGCTACTCTTGTTTTAGTGCAGATGCAAACGAAAGGTAGATTTTTTTCATTGTTTTACAAAAATAAAAGAAGTCCGTAGCAGCTATATCTATATGACATCCTATCGTGTAATTGAGTGATGTGTTGCACCTCAATTCCATGTTACTAATGTTTTCGAAATAAGGCTCGGAAAATATGGCAGAGTGGTGTGAAGCTGAAACACAAGCTCTATCCCTATAATTGTTCTATCACTAATAATTGGTTCGATGACATCAATAGTTCGCTAGTGATAGTTGCTTTCTGCGAAAGCAGCCGGAAATGCATTAAATGTAGCTAATGTAGAACAAGGGCTGCGCGCCATGATTATACGCTTCTGTCCATGATATTGGCTGTTTCCGTAGTCTATGAATTGTTTTCTTTTTTTGCCTCCCGGGACTTGCTCGACATATTTACCTTTCATCGTCCGTCCCTGTTCTGTGTTCAATGATTTCTTATAAACTAAGTGAAGCTTCCCCATAAAAGCATTTTTGAAAACATGTAAAATTGTCACACGCAATTTGGCGAAAAGCATGATGGCAATGCTTTGATATTAAAGAAGTCGTAGTATTTTATAGAGCGGTATAATAAGAATATGTTTAAATTTGTGTTAATTTTCCACAGAGGGCGTAATTAGTTCAGAGCGACATGATACCACTTACCTCCCTCTCTTGAAAATCTACACAAATTAATGCAGATTCTCAGCATTTTGAAATTTTTAAATTAATTTTTAGCCCTAAGAGCCCTATATTTTATGATTTCTCTGCCTTTAAGAGATGATATGAGCTTTTGTGCACTAAAATTATATAGGAAAGAAAAAATTCATTTCTATACGAGTTTTTATGCAAAAAGATACAACACTTCTATTCTACATTCAAAAAAAATTTTTATTTCAAATTATTTACAAATGTGGCAGAGTGTATGCGTCAAAAATAATCCAACATAGACTTGAATAAAATTAACAAAGAAATATATAGAAAAAACAACTAACAATATTATAATCGTTCACGATCAGGACTATATGCACTGGTCCTTGTTCTTGTAGTTCTTGAGGATTTCAAGAGGGGATTGCAAAACCTGCAAGTCCCAAATAAAAGTGCATCTGAATCATGTGCAAACGTTTCATTCGTTTCGCTGAAAAGCTGAAAGGAAGGGAAGAACGTACACTTCCCTTCGTAGTGGTTTATCAACTCTGACGCGGATGGACTGATGATTGCGCGCTTTCGCTAAAATAAGTAAGTATTTGTCCACAAATAATTAAGGCGTTTAATGAATGTAATGAAAAATTCGCACTCACTGCTAAACTTGTGCCAGTGCTATTATCTGCTTGTAATACAAAACAGAAACACAATCAAATAGTGATTATCCCACCAAGTCTGCATAATTTGAGTCAGAAACATTGGAAATCGGTTAAGTTGCGTCCAGGTGTCCGCCCTTGTCACGGATGTCATCTGTAAGCGCATGAGCGCTAACACTTGAAATAGAATAGAAAGCCTTGGTACGTTTGCACTTAACCTCCTTGTCCTTTTTTTTTCTTGGGTACCGTTACCAGTGCGTTAAGCTATAAAGTTTGTATTTGTATTGTTGAAATCAAGTTTTTTTTTTTTTTATTTATGATCACATTATGATAACAGCAATAATTTAAAAAAATTTATGCCGCCATGGACGAGGAAGAGGTTAAAGCAACTTCTTAGATGAAGGCAGATTAAGGAGATAACCCATCCCACAAACGTGCTCACACTCATTAAAGAAATTCAAATTGACTAAAAAGAGACAAAAACTTAACGGGAAATTTCCAATGAAGCCTTAACCAAGTCTTCCAAAAATCAATTCATTCCGTTTTCTAATTAATCTCTTTACTATGTTTAGCTAAAGAACTGAGTAAATCTCAAGAAACGAAAACTTCAACATATGTTCATCGAATGTCTACAACAAGCAATGAGTTACGGACAATATAATTTAGGCATGAAGACTTTCTGAACATTTATTAAAATCATCAAAACGTGTCAAAGGAACAATAGCTCAGAACAATCTACTCATGAGCTTATAATTATGAAAACACAAATATATATATATATATATATACAAACATTTTTGAAGATGATAGATATCCACGAGTTTTTTTTTTTTTTTGTCTACTTTTTTTAACTGTTGTTTATTTTTAAGCTGAATTTTTTATTTTTTTTTTTATACTCATCACCGAAGGAAGGAAGGAAGGGATATTTTCATTTTGTCAAACGATTTTCAATGCCCAGAAGAAACTTTCCGAAACTCCTCAATACATATATATATATTCCTAGTCAGCCTCAAATTCTCGACTTTAGACTGTCCGTCTGTCCGTCTATGCACCTGTGCAATTTTTGTTGTACACATTCTCCTGCATCCGTCTGCAAAAGTGCAGTCATCAGTTTCAAATTTGACAGATTGGTATTGATAATGGGGCAAATCGGTCGAAGAACACGCCTACAGTACTACGTAAACTGAGTAGAACTGTGTTTTACAAAAGGAATAAAAAGCTTGATTTTGCGCTCACTACTTATAAAGTAAAGCAAATAAATCTACGAATATTTAATGTGCATAATAGGTGTACAAAAATGGAGAAAGCTTGCCCACGCCTACCCTATATGACAATGTACCGAAATATGATTTTTTCTCAATATCTTTGTAAAGATCAGAAGCGAGCTTGAAAAACTCTATAAAGAGTATAAATTCTTGGCCAATTTCAAGTTTTGAATGCATATCCGTCTGTCCATCTGTCCGTCTGCTAAACTGTGTTTTTCCGTTCGAAAAAAGATGCAATCGCCTATAAATTTGCAAAAGAGTTTAAAAAACGCCCAAGCAGGTCGAAGGACACGCCTATAATGCCCATACGTCTATACAACGAAAACTGAGAACGCGTTTGTCTTCCATGTTTCTGTTCGTTAGTCATAAACTGCGACATGTACACAATATAACCTTCAGCTTGTCTTCTAAAATATAGAAAAAAAATCCATCCACGCCCAAACAATATTATCAAAATTTAGGTCTTTCTTCCCATAACGGTGATAACGAGTTGGTCACGATCGAATATAATTTTCTTACTTCTTTTCTTCTTTTGCTCTTGTATTGGCAGAATTCCTTTCTCAGTTTTCACAAACTATTTCTTGCTTAAAATAAAAATAATTTGAATGGAAAGATTTCAAAAAGAATCATTTCCTCGTCCGTATGTTATTTTTTAACTTGACACTTATACGGTTGAGTGAAAATGTCAGTGATTTATATTTAAGCGTAATAATATTACCACTAATCATCACCATTCCAACACAACGACGAAAAGATATTTTCATGCTCCGTTTCGCTTTCTTATATGTCCCCTTCCCCCCCTTCCCCCTCCCATCAAGCTCTTTCGTCATCGTCCCGCTTCCCTGGCCATGGCAAGCATCTGTAAACTGAAGAAAAAAAAAAACCAAAAAAGAAGAAAACATTCTTTCTTCGATTACTTTGACTGTTTCCCCCTTAATGCCGCAGTTGGTGGACTCGTGATATCGTTGTCTTGTCGTGTTGTCTGGGCCTGCGTAATGCCAGTTATGAATATTTAATTCATTGGCGAGTAATTCGTTTCGCCTCGTCGTTACTATTAAAATAAAATATTATGATTATGATTATGATTGTCTTGTTGTTGTTATTGTTGTTGTTGTTATGATTGCTTTTGATTGTTGGCTGACTAACTGACAACATTGTTACTATTGTTGTGGTTATGTTCAAATTGAATTTTTCCACTCAAGTAAGAAAATGAACGGAGAATATCATTTAATTTGTCCGTCAGCGTGTAAATCGCCCACATTTAATGAAATGCCAGCTAGCTTTTGGTTAATGAATAATAACATCGCAATATGCGTATGTACGCGATTTTTATTATTTCGCTCATATGTTCATCAAACTTTCTAAATCAACCTTTGAAAGTTTTACAAAGTTATCCTATGTAACCTTAGAGCTGGCAATGAAGAGATAGACCAAAAGGGAGATGGAGAGAGAGAGAGAGAGAGAGAGAGAGGGATGAAATATCTACATAAGATTACAAGTGTCAAAATGTCAGTGTCAATGCTTTATATATATATGTGAAACGGAATAGAGCAAGAGTTGAATATTTTTGATTGACATCAAACATTTACAAACTTAATGCTTTTCATAGCTTAATTTCTCCATTATCATGCGGCGGCAACTCCATCCTCGCATTAAGTGTAACAATATTTTATGAAAACAATTTTAAACAATTTAATTTAATATGACAG